AATAGTTTTACGTTTGTTTATCGCAACACGACTCTCGGTTTCGTTATCAATGATTTTTCAATGATAACATTTGTTTTCGGTTCTATCGAAATGAAATTTTATATTTTAAAATTCCGATTAATGCGCTTTTCTGGAGAAAAAAAAAATTTGATTCGTCAAAGGGGGTCAAATTTCCCTATTATTATTATTATTATTATTATTATTATTATTATTATTGTCGTCGCCGTCGCCATTGTCGTCGTCTGCTAAAATTTTTCGATCGAATAATACGATGATACTTTACGTAAAAAAAAAAAATTTATAAATTTATTAAAATGTTACGTTTACGTAATGATTGAATTATTATCATTATTATTATTATTATTGTTGTTGTTATTATTATTATTATTATTATTATGGTCACTCTTAAACACGACAAGGCTCTTATTTGTCGGGGTTGTTAAGTATTTATCCCAGGTCTCTACCCGATTCCTTAGGGACAAATACTCGAATATCGGTAGTGCTATTTATAATATTTTCCGAAGAATGTGGGCCGTCCCACATAGTGCGATTTCCTGGATGGTTTCTTCTTTTAGGTTCTTCATAATCTTCTTTAAATTTCCTTTTATTGAATGTGGCATGGCTCCCAATGCTCCCACGATGACCGGAATCGTTTCTGTTTTTGTTCCCCACATCCTGGTTATTTCGATTTCCAAATTTCTATATTTCAGCCTTTTATTATTATTATTATTATTATTATTATTATTATTATTATTATCATTATTGTTATGACGATTACGATATTACCCGATTTATATGTAAATGTAAATTTTGAAAACGGTTAAAGTTAATTTTATGTGAAGGTTTTAAGTAGGAATTAAATTCGGAAAATTTAAATTAGATATTAATAACTTGATTGACAAATTTTATTAGATTCTAACGACGACGACGATGACGATGATGATGATCGTTGCTCCGGGAAATTCGGTCGTGCGAGATTTTCCCCTCCCCCTTCCCCTCCTCTCCCCTCCCCGAATAAAAAGTAACAAAATTTTGGTAGAGATATAATTGGTTCGTTCGTTCGTTTGTTCGTTTTTTGTTTGATATAAAAAATTTTGGAATTTTCCAGAAGGAAAAGTGAAAAAAGAAAAGAAAATATTTTGGTTGCTTGTATGCATTTAATAAAAAGAGAGAGAGAGAGAGAGAAACGATGACGACGACGTAACGTCAAATTTAAATTGAAAAATGAGTTTTTTTACCGTTGAAATTTTTTTTTTTTTTGGTAAGGTACGACGAAAAGGTTAGAGAGAGAAAGAGAGAAAGTATGTCAATTAGGCTTTCTGGAAAAGAAGATCTCCGGAGAAATTTTTTTTTTCCAGAGAGAAAACACCTTTATTGTATTTCCCCCCCACACTCCCACTCCCTCCCTCCTCCCCATTCGCTTTGATTACGTCCTTTTATTTTTTCGTTTCGAATTTAAAAAAAAAAAAAAAATTTTCTTTTTTCTTCTTCTTTTATTACTTTTCATTGTGTTTTTTCTCTCTCTCTTTCTCTCTTTTCTATTTTTTCTCTTTTTTATTTCCCTTCCCTTCTCATTTCTACCTTTTCCTCCTCTTCCCCCCTTCTTTTTTTTTTTTATCCCTTTTTAAAACTACCACTTTTAAGCCCGTGACAAAAGGTTTTTCCTTTTTTTTTTTTCGTTTTATATTTTCATCAAACGTTCAAACATTTTTCATTTTTTTTTTTTTTTTGGAAACACGCGCATGCGCCCCCAAGAACATATTTTTTTATTAATAATAATAATAATAGTATTGTTTGTTTTACCGAATTAAGTTCGTCGGGTAAAAAAAAAAAAAAAAAAAAAAAAGTTTTTAAATTTTTTTAAAAAGAAAAAAGAAAAAACGTTTCGAGAATTTAAATTTAAAATTTTTTCACGCGTGTATTTTATATATATATATATATATATATATATATATATATATGTACATGTAATATTTTAGAAAAATTTATATTCTTAAATATCGTCTTGATATTAATAATGATAATAATAATAATAATAATAATAATAATAATAATAATATTTTTCTTTCGTACGGATGACGAAATTTTTTTTTTTTTTTTTATATTTATTTTCGTTATGGAAAATTTAAATTTTCATAAATTTAGCGGAAATAAAAAGAAAAAAAAATTTCTTATTATCATAATCTTATTATTATTATTAATTATTATTATTATTATTATTATTATCATTATTATTATTACCATTATTATTATTAAAATTTATCGGTTTAAAGTTAAAAGTTATCATAGGTGGAAATTTTTTTTTTTTTTTTTTCGTTTAATAGAAAAAGAAGACAAATTAGGGGGTAGATTAGATTTTTCCTTTTTTTTTCTGACGTCATCATCATCTCCTCCTTCCCCTTTTTTTTTAAATTGAGATATTGTCAGGCATTGAACGAATGTGATAACAGAAGGTGGTGATAAGAGAAAAAAAAGGGGGGGAAAAAAATGTCGTCGCGAAAAATATGTTTTTATTATTATTTCTTGACGTTGTGATTGGGGAGGGGAAGGGAAATTAAAAATTAAAATCACGTCGTGATGGTGGCGGTACTAGACGATAATATAATAATAATAATTAAATTTAATGACGTAAGCGGTCCCCACCGAAAATCCCAAAAAAAAAGAAAATGTCGACAATTAATTGTTGTTTTAACCTTATCACGAGTTAGACTTTTACGCATTTTTTTTTTTTTTTTTTTATTTATTATTATCTTGTTTCCTTTTGTTGCGGTTTATTTATTTCCCCCCACTTCCACCCCAACCCCCTTTCCCCCTTTTCCTTTTTTTTTATAATTTATGTGTGTGTGTGTGTGTGCGAGTGA